GCTTATCTTTTAAGGACGGTAATTAGATTTTTCCTCCTTTCCTACCGATCCTCTCTCAAAAGGTTTGTGGCTCAGTGTGGGTAAATGACTCTGTGTTTGATGCCTGCTCCAAAGCATTCACTACCCAACAGCACAATCAGCTTTTGTCATGTGGTTATCATTCAAGGTGCCTAATCAAATCTTTGTCTTTCATTTCTTAGTAATCCACTTATAAATCTTTTGTGGCATAGTGGTCATCGATGGCTTTGTGTTGGGGACCACTGCCTGAGAGTGTACATAACTTCATTAAATATGCATCCATCACACTCGCCAATGAAACAAACAATGGTGTCAACTCAGTCAAATCTGATTTTAAAAAATGTTCAAGCTTCTCAAAACACTCTTCTCTAAACACTTGAATAGTACATTTGGGTATTAAAAAATCTACACATATACTCAGATGGACTCAAAGTGATTTTTCACATAATTTTGTATTAACAGAAATATCTTTTAAAAATATATCTATATTTTTACGGTGACTAAATATTTCAAAAGCTGACAAATCAGCCCACTAACACTATCTTCATACAATTCTGCAACACTTTTCTTCATGATCAGTCTCCCTTTATCAAGTAATAATTCGATATAAAGATAATGTCCACTGTCAAAAGGAATATTCAAGTAACCATACAAAAGCACTTGAAATAAATTTAACTAAATCCAGAAATATAGTAATCCCCCACAGAGAAAGTTGGAAGTTGCATAACATCACAAACATATTTTTAAGTTTAGAATGATGGACATATTAGTCAATAACTCAATGCCCCTCATTTGAATTCATGGGAGTTAAGTTAAATAACACATTTGAGCCTCAACCATAGCTCATCTAATCTATACACATATTTATGGATGTTGTCTGCCTTATCCTATGACACCAAAGCTGCAATAAAAAAGACATTTCCCCATCAATATATTTGGACAAACATTTGGTGGAATTATAAACTGACCATGAAGTTAAGCTATTGTCCTGAACGGGTTTACATTCAGTCATCTGGTCTCACATTTGGGAGGAATGCACATTAAAGATACGTCCACACCGACTCCACTTTTCAGACTGATCATCCCTGACCCAAAGAACCTGAACGATCAGTACTTTAGCCGCACAGTTTTTCAGTTTGAAAGGTGAATAAATCATGAAGTTTAATTCCTTTCCTCTAATTCTATGACGGAAGTGTTCAAAGATCAATTAGCGAGGGAGGCATGCTGAGAATCGAGAGCAGGCAGCTTCGGGGAAAACTTCTACTTAGACAGAATAAATAAGTAGTGAAAATAAATCTATTCAAACAATAGTGCATCTCTGAGTTTAATGTGTGTGCTGCTTGCGTGGATGCATATATGTGTGCAGAGGAAAAAGGGAGTGATTTTGATGAATGCGTCTTGACGGATGGTGTTACCCCCCTAAGCCTGCCTCCTCATCCTCTCCAACTCTTCTGTCATGGCCAAATATCGAGGTCAAACCAACTCTCATGTCTGCCCGGCTCTGCAAGGACACAACACAGAGAACATGTCAACAGCAGGCCCACGGGAAAGGTTGCCGTTTTACCATTTTTCAACAATTTGATCAACAAATTTATAAAACCACAGAAAAGATGTGCAGAGGCAAAATCCTCTAGTCTCGTTCAAATGGATTAGATGCAACTGAATGCAGCTGCTCTGGCTTTAAAAATGAAAGTGACTATTGCTGTCCGTGATTACACTATTAAAATTAGGCCAGACGTGAGGAACGCAATGTGTAAAAGTGCACAGGCAGCTGAAATCTGTAGTTTAACCTGATGTTTTGTCACCAAGGTGTCACCAACGGTTTTGACAAAACACACGCTCTTCTGCGGGCGTCATCTTCTGATGTCTCATCCAGGACTGAGACACAGATTATAGTTCTATGTGCAAACACTGGAGAACACACTTCAATTGAAGGACTTCAATTTCAGGGGATTTTGTCTTTGAATACGGAAATTATTGACTTCATTCATATTTAGAAGAATAAAATATATTTGTAATACATTTCACCGGTTACATTTTACTAACTTCCTCCCATCGTCCAAAAACACGCACGTTAAGTTAATTGAATTGCCCCCAGAAGTGTATGTGAGTGTGATTGTTCGTCTCTGTCTGGTCCTATGATGGACAGGTGACCTGTTCAGGGTGTTACCTGTCTCTGGCCCAATGTCAGCTGGGATAGGCTCCAACACCCTCATGACCCTTCCAGGAATAAGAGGTATGGACAATTATTGAAATGAATTAATTCACATTACATGCTAATCTTTATGTGTGCAGCCCAGGGACAAATGTGCTTCAATATTGCTTTATTAGATTATCGACTATTCATAATGAGAACCTTTACACTTTAAAGGCTATTTCATTAAGTTTGATTTGTAAAAATGAACTCTTCCTTGCCAGCTGGAGCAGTTCAATATTTTTTATGAACTGGCAAATTTGTATATTTTATCATTCTAAAATATAGAAATCCATCATAGGTGGTGCATATTTCAAGTATTAAAGTTCCTAGTACATTGTGCTTATCAAACATTTGCTCTGTAACGTACCTCTTAGATTTATTTAAAATCAAATGCAAAATTTTCCGGCAAATGTGATCAGGCAAAATAAGGAAAACTACACTGCAAGGCAAAAGTTCACCAAATTCACTGGAGAAGTGGGTGTGCAAAGGAAAGTCCTAATTAATCTGGTGTATATTCAGAATGCTTTCTTAAAAATGAGTAGACTGGACTTGCTCTTCAGACACCCTCAGAACGTTCTGCTGTTCTATATAGCTTTGAAATTTCTCAACAGGGATTCCATTGTTAATCTAGCCCTCTTCAAATATCAGTGAGCTAATCATCCATTCCTTCTTTAATACTTTGAATCTGGTGTTGAAGTATTTATAGATTCAGATGTTATATTCTAATAAAAATTGGACCACATCATTTGAGAATGGTGGGTTCACATGCAGTATATTCTGATTGTTTACAGTGGTGAAACACTGAAGAGACTTTCAGTAGGTTACTTGCGTGGACATAGTCTGACTTAAAATAAGCCGCTGGTATGTCAAAGAAGGGGAAAAAGAGACAAAAGGGTTTCAATCACGAGCTCTGAGCATTGTTATGTTTCTACATGAGGCCCTTGTGTTTGTATTGGTGCAAAAGGAAACTGTTTTCAGCACTGACCAACTGAAAACACAGCAGTGATTCATTTATTTTTCCCATGTTGGACTTTGCTTCCAAAATGTTTAATTGCACATCTGTGCTGCAAACAATGCAGGATTAAGAAAAGCCAATGGAGGGGCCAAAGGAAAGATCTGTTTTCTGAACATATGGAAAACAGGTCAGACTCATAAAGCCTCCTTTGGAGCAAAACACCAAAACCACAATGTCCCTGGTGCCCACCAGGGACCTCATTTGCATGCCCTCCCCCTCAGTCTATGTTCTCTGCTGACATTTTCTTTAGCTATCTGCTTTTAAATTACCCAAAGATAGCAACATCTGCAAAAGAAGAAAAGTTTAGGGAAGCAAAATCAAACAGAAGTTTAGCTGGAAATTCCCCACATACTAAGTTAATCTGAAAGTGAACATTTACCACCCTAGCTTTCGTTTGTCTGTTTGTTTGTGAAGCCAAATGACAGACATTCAGGAAGATACAATTACACTATGTTCCTCTCTGCAAGACAGCATTTTATTAGACAAATGATGACACACTTCACCATTTAAAGGACAGTGGTACATTCAGATCAGGTCATCTGCACAGTACAAAGATGTGGGAGAGGTGACATGTGACAACCAGTTTCTGTTGGCCCTTCGGCCAGTGTAGACTTTCTATAGAAAGAACTGACAAAACCCTGAAGACTGAATGTGTCAGAGTTATGGATTCACTCCTTGAAGGCTTTGGACATCTTAGACAATTTGGATGAGTTTAGTCTCTCTTTGTCTTTATGGATTTATTTATCGGTTTGATGAGAATTAAATGTGGCTGGAAAAAAAGTTGAAACATTACGGTAGTTTGGCCTCAATAACAATTTAAAAATGGTATTAATAGAAAAGAGTAACAATTATGATGTGATGAAAAGTCTCTTCTTCTTAAATTCAGTTCTTCTCATTGTCGGTTAGAGATGTCTCTACATGCAGGTTGACCTTATCCATTATTCACATTAGATTTTGCTCTTTGCATCACCACTTCGCCCTCTATCAAAGCCGCTGGCTTTCTGTATCTGCATCAAACCACACAAATTGTCCATGCAGGGCAGAGCACATGTACTGAGGGAGTCGTTGGAGTGGTTGCAGTCGTGAAACTTTCAATAATGCATTTTTGGCATCATATAACTTGAACTCTATAGAACACATTCCTTGCTTTGTCTCAAACGTCTTGCCTCTCTCCGAGCTGTAAGGCGCTGAAATGACTGCATTTGACTATCTTAGCTGTACTGTCTGTAAGGCTGCCCTGAATTTTCATGCTCAGTGGAAAGCCGGGCACTGGATACACATGAGGTTATTTAGCGGCAGAGTTTCACTTAAGAATCCCCCTTTTTGCGTTTTTACAAACGTTTTCCCCTTTCAAGTGGGTGGACATTAGACACTGATGCTCCAATTAAAGCCTTTAAGTAAACGACAATTTCAGCAACACTGAACCTTGAACAGAATAACACAGACTTCACTGGTCATGTAAATAAACACCTACACATCACTTTTTTTTTTCAAAACAGGACTACAACATCACATCCCATACATGACAGAGATGGCAGGGTGTCTTAGTGACTTGAGCCGTGCGTCCTGCTGAAGTGTCAATGAGCAGGTCACTCTAGAACCCACTTCCCCCCACACCAACCTCCCCCCTGCCCCTTGAGAGCCGCTGCTGAGTTGCTGAAAGAACCCTGACCCTGACCTGTGGCCTCCTCGGACCATCCGGGATACGGACGCTGAATGAACGATGGCATTATCAGTGCATCCAGTCACGTTCGAGGCGAGAACCCGGAGTCAGTGTAATCCGTTAGGTGTGAACGGAGACATCCTATCCAGACTGATGTCTGCCTCACAGTCCTCCAGGTCACACACGGAGTCGGTGACGTTGTCGTTGTTGTGGGAAAACTGTGAAATCCGGTCAAAAGTCTCCTCGTGCTCAATACATTCAACCACGTTGGGGATCATGTTGACATAAGCGTTCACGATTTCCTTGTGGATGAGGGTGTCTTGGTTATATGAGACCAGCTCGTTGCTGATGTTCACAGTTTCCACAGGTGTGTTGGAGCAGAAATTGCGACAGCCCAGCAGACTGGCGAATGCCTTCCTAAACTCGGCGTTGAAGGCGTAGATGATGGGATTCAGTGAGGAGTTGGTCCAGCCGAACCACACGAACACGTCGAACGTGGTCTCGCTCACGCACGGCAGACCCGCGTCACGGTCCGTGGCCGGCCTGTCGCAGAACGGAACCATGCAGTTCAGGATGAAGAAAGGTAACCAGCAGCAAACAAACACGCCCATAATCACCGACAGGGTTTTGAACACTTTGGTCTCCCGCTTTATCGACGTTTTCAGCGTGTTGTGGTGTTGGCACTCTATTCTGTTGGTCCTGCAACTTTGCGCGTGCTCGGCTGCTCTCTCCAGCGAGGCTATTCTTCTGATTTGTATTTGTGCTATTCGATAGATTCTGGTGTATGTTACAATCATGATTGCTACGGGAATGTAGAAACTAATCAACGAGGAGGAAATAGCGTACTCTCGGCTCAGGCTGGAGTCGCAGTTCTCCTCCACCTGCCGACTCGTGGAAGAGTTGTGCGCCCCGGCCACATCATCATCGGTGGCTTTGTGCCAGTTCAGCTGAACCGGTATGAATGAAATGAGCACTGACAACGTCCAAGTGATGCTGATCATAACAAAGGCCACTCGCTGGGTCATTTTTCTCTCGTAGCGGAAGGGGCTGGAGATTGCCCAGTATCTATCAACGCTGATGATGCAGAGGTTGAGGATGGAGGCGGTGGAGCACATGATATCAAAAGCCACCCAGACGTTGCAAAAAGTGCCAAACGGCCAGTAGCCCGCCACCTCTGCCACGGCTTTCCAGGGCATCACCAGGACAGCGACGAATAAATCCGACAGAGCCAGGGACACGATGAAGATGTTGGTGACTTTTGTCCGCAAGTGCCGAAAGCGCAGCACTGCAGAGCACACCAGGATGTTTCCCAGCAGGGTCCATAGGATGAGCAGGAATAGGAGACAACCCGTCACAGTACGCACCACCATATCCTTCCCCCCGTCGTTTGTTGCCTCCGTTCCAGTACTGTTCCACATAATCTCTTCCATGGGTGCCGGCACTGAATCAATCCCCTGCGCCGAAGAGAGATATTTGGCAGGATTCTCCATTTTGCGCTTCAAGTAAAACTGCAGTCCATTGCTCTGCGCGCGGGTACGGGCTCAGTTACCAGCCAGTCACTGAATAGTCCCCAGTGACCCGCCGGGCTGTGCGCTTGATGCAGAGGGTAAAACAGGCTAAAAGAGAGAATTGAACATGTTAAAACTATACGGAGTACCGTGCCAGGTGCGCTTCGGGACTGAGAGGCAGCATGCAGTGGCGGGCGCATATTGAAGTCTTGCAGTTCCGGTCGTCTGACCTGGCTGCCTCTGTGGATCTTTGAGTCCGAAATATCCTGACCGTGCTGTGAGTGAAGAGGAACTCCTTACCGTCAAACACACACGAACCTGGGCTGGGCTCATGCACCATGACGCCTCCTTTGTGCGTGGTATTACGCACAACAGCGCGCTGAGGAAAACCTTCAGCAATTTGAGGGTTAGAGCGTAATTAAAAGCTCTTTGAAAGCTAGATTAATCTGTTTAGCATTCTCGTGCAGGGGCCAGAGGAAACGTTACGGAGTTTAAAAACAAAGCCTTAGACTGACTATGAACATTTAAAAGG